TGAACATCCCATGCAAACCCGTTCCAAGTCTAGAGTCTTCCGCCCCAAACAAATCCTTAACCTCCACACATCCGGCCCAATCTCACCCCTCCCCCCAACATACCGCAGTGCACTCAAAGATCCAAACTGGCATGTTGCTATGTGTGATGAATATAATGCTTTGATTAAGAATGATACATGGGAACTAGTACCCCCTCCCCCTCACAAAATATCATCACCGGTAAATGGCTTTTCAGACACAAACTTGGCCCCACAGGTGAGTTATCCAGGTACAAAGCCCGATGGGTGGTCCGTGGCTTCAATCAACGTTTTGGAGTCGACTACGATGAGACCTTCAGTCCTGTCATCAAGCCTGCTACTGTTCGAATTGTCCTTAGCCTTGCCCTGTCTCGAGGATGGCCTATTCACCAGCTTGATGTCAAAAACGCGTTCCTGCATGGCCACCTTCAGGAGACAGTCTATGCCAGCCAGCCTTCTGGGTTTCAGGATGCCGCCAGACCACACTATGTTTGCAAACTTAAGAAGGCGCTATATGGGCTCAAGCAAGCACCCCGCTCATGGTACCATAGATTTGCCGGTTTCATTCAGACCATCGGCTTCCGCGGGTGCAAGGCTGACACGTCCCTCTTCATTTTCTCACATACGACGGGCACAGCATTCCTCCTTCTTTATGTGGATGACATTGTCCTCACTGCTTCCTCTGCATCACTCCTTCAGAGCCTCATCCACCAGCTCAAAACAGAATTTTCTATGACCGACATGGGAGACCTACATTTCTTTCTTGGCATTAATGTGCATCACACGCCGACAGGGCTCTTCCTTCATCAGACTCAGTTCATACATGACATACTTGAGCGCGCTGGGATGATCTCATGTCGCCCAATTACCACTCCGGTCGATGCAAAGGCCTAACTGTCCTCCTCCACAGGCACATTACTCTCAGATCCCTCCATGTACAGATCCATTGTGGGCGCACTGCAGTACCTTACTTTCACTCGGCCCGACATCACATATGCGGTCCAACAGCTTTGTCTTCACCTTCACGCACCACGCGATGCTCACATCACCGCCATGAAGCGGGTTCTTCGTTATCTGAGCGGCACTACTACTCATGGCATCCACCTGACACCTTCCTCCACAGATTATCTCCAGACCTACTCCGATGCTGATTGGGCAGGTTGCCCAGATACCAGGCGCTCCACTTCAGGCTACTGCATGTTCCTAGGGGATAATCTTGTTTCCTGGTCATCCAAAACGACAGGCAACCACTTCACGATCCAGTGCAGAGGCTGAGTACAGGGCCGTAGCAAACGCCGTAGCCGAAACCACTTGGGTGCGCAACCTTCTACTTGAGCTGCAGCAACCTCTCCGGCGAGCCACTCTTGTCTTCTGCGACAATGTCAGCGCCGTTTATCTCTCAACCAATCCCGTCCAGCACCAGCGCACCAAACATGTTGAGGTCGACATCCACTTCGTTCGCGACAAAGTGGCGCTCGGCCACGTTCGAGTTCTACACGTCTCATCATCCTCCCAGTATGCTGACATCTTCACCAAAGGGCTTCCTTCACTTCTGTTTCTTGACTTCAGAGACAATCTGGGCATCAGATCACTTCAACATCCGACGTAGCCGGGAGCATGTTAAATATATTGTTTATATATTTAATATTATTGTATTATATTGTTGCTATAATTGTATTACCTTCCTACTTTGTCTCTCCTACCTTAATTAGGATTGAGACTACTAGTATATATTTACATGTAATCACCTCAAATCAATCAATGAAAATACACTTTCTATATTCATATTTTCGTTTCTTTGAGCAAACGAAAATTTTCCATTGAGTTTTGGGGTGGGATAAGGCCTGGAGACGGGGAAGTAGTTCGATTCAAGAATACGAATCGTTTCGATAATTATCTTGTTTCTTCATTTACAAAAATGGAGCATTAAATGAGCAAAAGCTGTATGTAGGTGTGTTATTAGCTGGGCTATCTATCTGTTACCAGTATATATCATAAACAAGGACCAATTAGTGAGGCTGACCCATGGAGTGCTAAAATAAATCTATATCTTGATGGCATGTTTCCCACTTGTTATTTGGTCTTTTCCTTGTTATGTTATGCTCTCTAAGGTCTTCCAAAAGTGGACAGATTTCAACACATCATTATTTTTTGTTGTGGTTATAATAGGGCAAATTTCTCTATTTGTGATTGCATATGCATTTTACCTTATGCACACATAATTGGCATCTACCACGGGCAGGAAATTAAACTCATTTTAAAACAAGGGTAGAACATGAATGTCTTTGTGGCATTCTACTGATCAACACATTTTTTTCCTTGGTGTTTTTGTGTCCTCTGCAACTATTTCTTTCATGTTGTTCCATGTTAACGATTAGATTTATCTCTCTATTTTATGCTATTAAACATCAACTTTACCTTTTCCCTTTCCTTTCTTCTTTGTTGCATCTGATGTAGACACATTATGTTCTGTTGCTCTCTTCCTTTAAAGAACACCTGCAGCAGCATGTCCGAGTGCATGCTGTGGAAGCTGTCATGGCCTGCTGGGAAACTTGAGCAGTCTCTACAGAGCTTAACAGGTAGGTGGATTTGTTTTCTACTCTTACTTTTTATTGTTGTGTCCTCTCTACTTTCCCCATAATCCTCACTTGTATTTGATTTATCATATCATTCTATAATTATGCTCCTGTTATATGGATTGGAGCTTTATTGGAAAGGGTGAATTTTTGGTGAAGTTGATGAATATGAAAAATGTATAGATGAAAAAAGGCTTAAATGATCAACTCTGGCAAAAAATGTACATAACACACCAACACAACATCAACAACCCCATGTAATTCCCACACAAACCCGGTATTGTATACCAATTCAGCGCGCCAATGAAATAAATTAGTGTTTGGTTGTAAAAATGCCAAACGGTTAGTAAAGCAAAAAAGTTGAAACCAATAGGTAACTTGAAATAACAGGTCTATTCTAAGTGATTCACTATTGTTTGTAATGAGGCAGATTGGCTCAAGTATTTAACAACCGATGGCATAGATGACTATTTAGTGTTAAATGTTTTTGTAGATGAAATTTATGTTTCTAGTCGGTATCGTATTGACAATGAAAGATTAACAGGGGTAGCACCAGGTGAAAGTACAGGTGCAACGATGTCTGACAACGATGATGAGCAGGAGGACAGTGACACCAACTTATTTGATGGAGGTCTAGATGGATCAGACACCATGGGTTTCGGTCCCCTGGTTCCTACTGAAACTGAGAGGTCACTTATGGAGCGAGTGAGACAAGAACTGAAGCATGAGCTCAAACAGGTATTTGAACATTGATTATTTTTTTCTTTCTTTCTTTGGTGTATTGTTGATAGTCCTCCTACCTGTTCCATAGTCTTAATGGTTTCCTGTCCTCCAGGGTTACAAAGAGAAGATAGGGGACATCAGGGAAGAAATTTTACGCAAAAGAAGAGCTGGAAAGCTGCCCGGTGATACTACTTCTGTCCTAAAAGCCTGGTGGCAGTCACACTCAAAATGGCCTTACCCAACGGTAGGGGCACATAGATAATGCACTATTAGACATTCCTCAGGGTCCAGTCGTAACTTAGTAGTTCCTTTTGTTCACTTTTGCTTTAGGAGGAAGACAAGGCAAGATTAGTTGCAGAGACTGGGTTGCAACTGAAACAGGTAAACAATTGGTTCATCAACCAAAGGAAAAGAAATTGGCACATCAATTCTTCCTCCTCAACTTCTTCTCAGAAGAGCAAACGCAAGAGGTAGCAACGTGGTGACTTATGCTAACACTTATTCTCTTTTTTTTATCCTTATTATAAGCAGAAGCTCAAAATCTTTCTTCACATGTACCAAACTCGATCCTTGGAAAAGTAGTGCAGGTGAAAAATTAAGCGGCGAGCATTTCATTTGAGAAGAGACGAGTATAAGTGTATATACAGTAGCAATGTTTTAGTATTTATTATTATTACTATTATTATTTTTGGGGTGGTTGGTATGACAGTGACATGCATCAACTTTTCTAAGGGATTCGACTTTGGGGTTTACTCAGTTTATTCGTTTACATATGACTGCTTTAAGGTTGGATGCACATTACTGCATGTTTTGCACGGGTGTGTGAGTGTGAGAGAGATTGTGTTTTCATGCTGACATATATGATCTACCCTCCTTTGGAGTGTAGCCTATCCAAACTCACCCTTGTGGCAGATGCTAGCATCTATTAATGGTGAATGCATGCATGTCAGAGTGCCAATGAACTGCATGTGCATGTCTGCATGAAACAAAAGAACATTGGTGTAGGGATGGCAATTTGTGTGTGTACAATTACTGGTATGCTGTTATTAAGCATGCCAAAGTTGTTTGTGCCAAAACCATGCAACTGGTGCATAAACTACAAGGACTAAATAGCAAATGAAAAGATGGATTATTATTCACATGAAATTTGATTGAGGGAGAAATGTAGTATAATTCCAATTGATCTTCCCCCCCCCCCCCTAATGACCCCAATAAGGACATTTTGGCTGTTAATTTCCTAAGTTCAAATCAATTGGAGAACAGAAGTCAAGAAGAGTGCGCTATAAATAAAAGGTGTTAGTGCCTGCGATTTAAGAAGTCCTAGGTTGTTGGGCTGCGGCTTTTGCAGGAAACTTGGCTGCTATAGCTCGCAAGTCCTTAGCAACCTCCGTAAATGTTGGCCTTTCCGATGGTTCTGCAGACCAGCATCTTTCCATCAATGCCTTCCAATCTGCGTCACAAGATTCTGGTACACACGGCCGCAGTGTGTTGTTTACTATACCACCTGTCATCATCCCAAATCTCAAACTCAAATTAAAATTATTGATATTATAAGAACTGTCAGCCAGTAAAGACCTTTCAATTTATTTTTCAGCTCAAAAAGACCTTTAGTGTTTATACCTTAGGGTGAATTGGCTAAACATATCAAACATGATTCCTTTTTTTGGGGGGATGGAAAAATTATCTAAAAGTTATCACTTGTGAAAACAAAAAAAAGATATTGTGAAAAATGACGGTTGGTAGTTTTTAGCTCAAAAGCACTCGAATTAAATTTAAGCTGAAAAGAGATATGTCTCATGTGATGATAAATGGTTATACCATATCTGAAGAACTCACCAATAATGGCCCCATAGTGCAAATCTGCATATGGCTCTTCTCCAGTTATAAGTTCCCACATCACAATTCCAAATCAAAACACATCAACCTAAAGGCACAATCCTTCACATTTTCAGGCTCAAAAAATAAATGAAAACATCAACTCTTTGATTTTGGCGACTCAATAATCTTGAGCCACTGATTAATGGAGATATCAATACAATTATACAAATATGATGCTCGATTTAGGAGGATGAGATGAGAAACAACCTTTTCACAGACAAGGCTGCTGCTACCATTAAGAAGTTCTAGGGTCATCCAAGGGAGAGTTCCTCTCACCCCACCTGAGATTAATGTCTGGCATTTCACTTTGGACAGCCCCAAATCACCAACCTAAGCATAGGAATAAAATGTAAGCAAGGGTTTTAAATTTAACTGATTTTGCATGATGAGTTAGGGTGCAGTGAGCTACAAATATAAGGGTATGTAAGTGTTCTAACCTTGCATATTGGTGATTGAAGTCATATGTGGTATTTAAATGTTAAGAAAGGTGTTAAGGGAATATAGACATTGGTAAAGTGATTTAAAACTAGTTTTGTTATGTTGCGAATTTCAAGGATTTATTGTTACTCTGCATGAGTACTATGAAAGGGGGTCGCTGAGTGTGTGATGACTCTTCTTAATTCTTCTTTATGAATCACTTTGTGTGTCGCTTATTGATCTTTAAATTATGGGAATTGCATGCATGTTTCAGGGGACCCTGGTACTACCCTAGGATTGAAGATCTTATTGCCCTCTATCCTAGCTCTCCAGTTTCCATCCGGTTTCAACTTTTGTGATGGCATTCCTTTACGACCTTTCCTTGATTATGCATATCACTTCATATGCTCACAACAGGCATTGGGTAAAGGCTTTGTGCTTTCTGATAATGAATGTCTATGTTCTTCAATATCCCGATGCTACCACTGACGATGCATGCTGGTTGTCTATTATTCATGACATGGTTAAACATGGGAAAACCCCGCATATGCTGATCCTAGGAGTAGTAAATTTTAAAAAGGACAAAATAGTAAATTTACAAGGCATTCCTGGTATTTACTACACTTTTTAAATATTATGCTATTTACTTTCCTACAAACTAAAAAATATGCTTAACTACTAACATTTTCTGATATTAAATCCTTTTTTTCGATGCAGATTAAATAAAATTAACCTTGAGTATTAGTCTAACCATATAGACCAATTTCAATGAAATATTCCTTCAATTGTATACTTTAAAATTTGAATTATGAATTGATTAGTGGTAACTGTTATAATAATAAGCAAATAGTTGGTTTTTGAAAAAGGAGCTGCAATGGTGGTGAACTGGTAGTGGTAGGTACCTACCCACCTCCTCACTCATCCTCCATATTGTTCATCCTCATTAAATTTCAGTTAAGTCTTCGTCGTACCATTTTTCATTATGACAGAATTAAGTATTGGTATTGGATGTTATGCTAAGGGCACTAGAAATACCCTTGAAGCTCCGGGGCTTCAAACCGGCTCTCTCTGCCACGTCAGTTTTAACTTACCTCACAGTTTCAGTGGAAATGGGTTTGAAGCCCCGGGGCTTCAAATTGGAGCTTCAAACCTTCATTTTTTATATTTTAAATACACATCTTCTAAAATTAAATTAATAAACTTTAATTATTTAATTATTTAAAAGAATTGAAACGATAATAGTTCATTAAAAAAATACATTCATTATAAAAAATTACATTCATTAACTAAAAAAATTAAATTCATTAAATTTAAAAAATTACATTCATTAAATAAAAAAATTACATCATTATAAAAAACTACATTCATTAAATAAAAAAATTACATTCATTAAATAAAAAAATTATATTCATGACAAAATAAAAAATACTTGAATAATAATTTTTTTAAAAAAGATGATAGATAGAGAAAAATTTGTATTTATGTTAAATTTAATTTAATTTATAAAGAAGAAAAGAGGAAAAAAGAGGGGGGGGGGGAAGAAAAAGAAGGCATCAAAATGCCTTCACATTGCGTCAAACATATGACGCAGAAATTTTAACTCGGGTATAACGGAGGAGGGGGGCGGTGTTTAACTCCCACATGCTTCAAATGCTCCCTAACGCCGCTGGGCGTTAGGAGTATTACCACTGCTCTAACACAACCCCTACTATCTATCATTATGTGACAACTACTTGATGCAGTACTTCTTTTACTTATTCGTTATCTTTCTAAGACTATGATCTCTATATTTATAGAATGAAATAATAATTATCATACAACTAAATAATTACTCCCTCCGTTCGCCTAAGATCTTCTCATTTTGATTTTTTGTGGTTTTTAAGGAGAGTTGAAAACAGGTGAAAATTTACCATTAAACCCTTAATGAAAATGGATGGAGTGTATTAAATGAGATGAGTGAGGTGTAATATATAAAGTAAGTGGGGGTAGTTGTGGTATTTTAATTATTAAAAAAGGTAATGAGAATATCTATGATGGATAAATAAAAAGGGCTAATGGAAAGATCTATGTAGGACGGAGGGAGTATTATAATTTCAGTTGTGATTGAAATTAAAAAATTATTATGCAATATAATTGTCAAATTATGAATTCAAATGAAAAATAAATAGTAAAATTAAGCAATTAAAATGGATGTACTATTATCAAAAGAACAGAAATGCCTAAATTAAAAAATGTTAATTCATGATTTATAATCAAAAGACAAAAATACAAACTAAGGGGGTGTATTATATAAGGATTCTTATTCATTTAATTAGAAATCAGTGGAATTTGAAAGTTTAGGTGTATTCAATTGTAACTTTTTAAAATCTATAAAAATCTAGTTGTATTCAATTAAAATTTTAAAAAGTCATTATAAATTCAACAAAAGTCTAGATGTATTCAAAATAGACTTTTAAAATTGAACAAATCTAGAGGTATCCAAAATAATATTAAACCAATGGATTTAATATAATCATTCTCCATTATTTTCTTTTACCCTAGTACAAGTATTCTTCCTCGATTTTTTTACTCAAGACAGAGCCCTAGGTCCGCCGCGTCAAAGCCTCATCATACTCAACTGCCGGACAGCTTCAAATCTTAGCAACCCAACGCCGTTGAGTAAGATTTTCATTCTTTTGATAATCAATCCTTTTAATTGCTTGCTTTTTCTTTTGATTTTGTCTTCTCGTTTTTTTTTCGGATGCCATGTGATTTTCTTCTATGAACTATTGTTTCTTTTCAATTATTAGGCAATATTGTTGTGTAAGATGGAACACGGTTGTTTCAATTCTGCAAAGTATCTATTCCCTAGGTTTTCTTCAATCCTATTTTTTATTTTTATTTTTTGCAAGATTTGCAAAGTAATTTACAAGGTGCCAGGGTTTTTTTAGGCCAAAAAAGATTATTGAATTACTTTTACAAGGTGTTAGGGTTTAATTCCTTGAATCAATTAGGCAAAGTTGGCAAATGATAATTGTTAGGCTTATTAGGTAATTTTATTTTTAGAATTAGGTTTACGATGCTCTAGATTTAATAGGTAATCTTATTTTTAAAAGTTTTAATAAATCAATAAAAGAGGTTTTCAAACCAAAATTCAAGCTTCCTTTTTTGAGGAACATGTCTGGTCCACAACAATTTGCAAAAACAAAGAATGGAAAACACTCGTTCTGCATTTTTTTCAATTATTTTTATACCTTTTGTGGGAGTCAGTCCATAGGAGTAAAATAGATCATTTACAAAATAGACGTAAAATAGATCATTTACGTCTTCCCGTGCTCTGGTACACGATTGATTATGTTTTCCCATGCTCTATTATGTATATAGCGATTGCCTCTGTGCTCTGTTGTATATATAACAATTTTTTTTAATGTTGTGGTGAAGGTTGTAGCTTTGCGTTATGTTTTTGTATTATTTTTGTGTAATATTACTAATTTTTTGTCTAAATTTTTTTACTTTCTTTATTGTCAATGCTCAATTTTTAATTAAGTTTTTATTGTGTATTATCTCAATTTTTTTTCAAGGTTTATGGTGTATTTTGTTTTGTTAGTAATTTGTTATATAAATGTGAAATTTGCATTTATATAAAAATTTTAATATTTTTTTTCTTGGTAACACAAAGTACAAATAATGGCGGATCTAGCATGGAAATATGGGGTAGGTTTATCGTGATAATGTGGTTCCGGAGCCCTTAAAAGATGAGGACAATGATAATGTGGTTCCGGAGCCCTTAAGAGATGATTGGTTTATCAACTCTGAGGAAGAAGGTGGTGGAAATACTACATCATTTCATCCTAATTTTAAGCCATTAGACACCGATGAATTGTTTCTCAATTTGTCGATTTAAGTTCATCATATTTACCTAATAAATTGTGTTGGTTCACACAACTTTGCTTTGTTTGAAGTTTGAACTCTTTTATTTTCCAAGATACTATTTTAATGTTTATGGATTTATTACGTTATTAATAATGTTCTATACATATATTGTTACATATGTTTTACCCACATTTTTAACATTCAATTTGAGGCTTACGCCTCAATACGCCTTGAGGCTTACGCCTTACGCTTTGAACAAAAAACGCCTCAAAACCGCAATACGCCTTTTCGAACATTGCTGTAAATTGAAACTTTCATCTTATTCTGATCAGATTTTCATCTTGGCAGCCTTCTGTGTCGTCTTTTTAATTCCAAAAATTGATTTGGCGTACAACTTGTACCTTCTACAATGGTCGAGGCTAGCTTGAACGGAAATGCCTTAAGGAAGCAAGTAGGAAAGTTGTTTGATGTTGCAATTAGACAGACAGTTCCTTGGAAGAAAGATATCAAGCCTTTGGTTGCTACTTGCAATCTTACTTTTGGTGATTATCAATGGTGATTTCAATATCCCTTTTAATTTTCTGATGATAGCTGCAGTAGAATTATGGTAGAATTCTCCATTGTTATCCTCTTGCTTTTCTTTTTTAAATTTTACTCCTGTTTATTTTTGTCAGCAATAATGCCATGACCCTTTGGTCCCAAATCAATGGAACAAATACTGAATTTAGCTGCCCTTTGGAAATTGCAGTGGTATGGATGGAATTAGATATATTCATAAATGTTTCTCATTGTTGCTTAATAACTGATGTTTTTCATTGGACCTTGACAGGCTATCAGGGACAATCTTCCTCAGTCTGAAATGATAGAGTCAAGCTCTGTGAGCTCTGTGGAGGTGAAAGTGAAATTGAAGAATAAAAAGCATGATGTTGCGGCAAATGGAGCTTTATCATCAAAACCTTTGGTGAATGGTATTGTGAATGTTGTTTTGTCCAGGACCTGGATGGCTAAGGTTTTCTACTATTCACCTTTTTTTGTATCTCACTAAATTGTGTGATAGTTGATTTTTCTATGAAACCTGTAATTCTCATCATGCTTCAGTGCTCCTTAAGATTAAGATTGCTTTAATTAGTTTTCCAAAACTGCAGGAAATTCAAACGATGCTAATTGATGGTATTGACTCTTGGGCACCCAAGCTTTCTATTAAAAGGGCTGTGGTTGACTTTTCCTCTCCCAATATTGCAAAAGAAATGCATGTTGGCCATTTAAGGTCAACTATTATCGGTGACACACTAGCTCGCATACTTGAATTCTCAAATATCGATGTTCTTCGTAGAAATCATGTTGGCGACTGGGGGACACAGGTCAGAAACATTCATTTCTATGAGTATTAACTTACTGTGGATCCAATCCATTTTTTTATGAGATCCTGTCATTTGTGATGGATCTCCATTCAGTGTTTGTAGCTTATATATGCATTACATGGTTTTCTTTGTTAAATATGGTATATATGTTCTCTATGTATGATGTGACTTGGTTCATCATTCCTTCATGAGCAACAACTTGCATGAATACATTTGCTTTGCAGTTTGGCATGTTGATCGAATTCCTCTTTGAGAAGTTTCCAAATTTTGAAGATGTTAATGAGAAAGCCATCAGAGATCTACAGGTGAGAGAGCTCCTTATTTTTAAAAGTCAATGACTATTGTTGAGGTCAAAATTTTCTTCATCATTGTGCTTTCCCACCAGTCGGATAGATGCAGTGATACATTTTTAGAATTCTAACTTAACTGATGCATTGTCTAGGTGTTCTACAAAAACTCAAAAGAGAAGTTCGACACTGATCCTGTATTTAAGGAGAAAGCTAAGAGTGCTGTGGTTCGTCTTCAGGTAAACTATTTACACGTTAACTTAAAAGGAGAAGCGAGAGATTGGTCATGTACATCATAGTTGTACAAGGTATGAACCTTTTAGGTAATATAATTTTTTTTCTGTTTGTAGGGTGGAGAGCCCAAATACCGTCAAGCATGGGCTCATATATGTCAGATCAGCAGGAATGAATTCAATAAGGTCTACCAACTTCTCGGAGTTCAGCTTAAGGAAAAGGTAGATATTAGCATTTCATATGTAATGATACCAAAAAAACACCAAAATAAAGAGCATCTTGAGAAGCTATAAAATCCTTTGTACAATGGATCATATGTTCGGGTTTGTGGAGAATTAGTGTTTACATGTTATTGCAAATTTATTTTGAACTTGGAATTTTATGAAGTCCTAATGAAAAGATTCTTTTATCTGATTATCTGAGCTATTCAAATCTGTTATCAGATATATAGATATATATATATATATATATATATATATATATATAACTGGTCTTTGAATGACAATAATGATAAATGAAATAAATATAGAAGATTAACATATATGACCTTATTCCTATTTGCTTGTTCATAGGGAGAGAGTTTCTATAATACATACATCCCTATGGTCATTAAGACCTTAAGCTATCAAGGTATCATTGAAAAGAATGAGGGAGCTTCCGTAATCTATGCTGGAAAGAAATGTCTTATTGTTGTGAAGAGTGATGGTGGTTACAACTATGCTTCAACTGATTTAGCTGCTCTGTGGTAAGTTTATTTCCTACGTGTCCTTTCTACTTATTTATTTAGCTTCTCCTTTATGTTTCTCTAGCATGCAACTTACATAATGTAACCTATTTGATAGTTTGAGCAGTCTGAATAATAAAATTGATTTTTCTTTTTAGTTTTTGTTTAATTTCCATCTATCTTAAACCACGGAAATCTATTATCAATTTCTTCAACTCTGTAGAATTCTTTGTAAACTACATCGATAAATTTTCTGTTTCTTGATGCAATGACGTCCGGATCATTTACCAAGTATTGCCTTGAGAACTAACTAAACAAAATGTTCATCTGGTGATCACCAGAAGAAACCCTGTGCTGTTGACTTAGCTTACTGCAACTATTAGCTCTATCTTCTTCATCCATTGTGTAACATTGTCAACAGTGGTTCGTTCCATTCTATAACTTTCTCCTTCAAACAAGTAATTTAGAGAAATTTTGGGGTGCCTTTTGGTCGAAACAGTTTTATGGTCCTCAGTCATTGTTAGTGGGATAGTTTAACTAATCAGTTTTCTCATGAATAAGTCTTTGTGGTAACAACCAAGCCCTATATTCAGAATGCTTGGATTAGATTAGACCATGTGAGCTGTTGACGGAAGATCTGTCTTAAAATTATAGTAAATCAATTGGCAACAAGATGGTTACCTCTTCTATCCGCTCTCTCTACCTTTTCTAACCTTCCCCATTTTCTACCTCTGGGTTTTCTATCTCTAAGCTATGACCTAAGTTGTCCAATAATTTCTGGATCCGGAAGGAGCTACCTGATTTTGGTAAATTGAAAAAAATTCTATTCTGGCAGGCTTTTGTGGGGTTTATAAGAGTTGGATAAGTCCTATATGCAAAGGGCATTGAACGTCTCTCAGTTTGGTTTTTTTTTTTGTATGCATTTTAAAGGATAGTTTTGACTCACATTTTAGCTTGGATACCACTTAATGTGTTTCTTTTGTAAAAGGATGGGAATAATAGTTTTATTATATTTGTTTGAGTAATAATGAGTTGTCTATGAAGCAAACTGCAGGTTGGGTTGGGTTGAAATTTAAATTTGTCTCGTGTTGTTTTCTATGCATAGGTATCGCCTTAATGAAGAGCAGGCTGACTGGATTGTATATGTTACTGATGTTGGCCAGCAAGAACACTTTGATATGTTATTCAATGTAAGTATCTGTGTTTACAGCTTGTATCTTGTGTGAGATGCCAAGTACGATGACTCCATTCTTTTAATTTTGTCCTTTCACGTTTTTAATTCCATTTGCAAATTTATTTACCAAATGTGGTATATAGGGCCAAACTTATAATCTGTTTCCATCTTGTCCATGGCTCTTGCAATTCTTTATCAGAAATTGGGAATTGACGGTCTTTTTTTTTTCATTTAGGCTGCTAGAGCTGCAGGTTGGCTCCCGGCCGATAATGGTACCTATCCTAAAGCTAGCCATGTTGGATTTGGCCTTGTTCTTGGAGATGATGGCAAGCGCTTCAGAACTCGGTCCACTGAAGTGGTTCGACTAATTGATTTGCTTGATGAAGCCAAGACTCGTTGCAAAGCAGAACTTGTTAAGCGTGGTATAGAAACTAGAGTTATTTCTGATTAATCATTATTTTTCTTTGGTTGGTCTTTGCTCATTCACCTTACGATTCTTATTTTCTTCTTTGCACAAATATTTAAAACCTGCTGACCTTGCTTTGGAATGAAAAAAGATAATGAGCATACTGCTGAGTCAATTGGTTATGAAGTTGAGACCCTCACCAAAAGGTTGCTGCGTGATTGTGGTATGAATCCTTGAATAATCTTTCATTTCTGTGTTAGTTGTGTGTATTTACTAATCATCTTTTCTTCTGTTAGTTTACATTTCTTTATGCCTATATATTTACAATTATTATTTACCTTGCTCCACAATGCAATGGTAGTCACGTATGATTTCAGCTTCAATAAATGTTGTTTTATTTCTCCCGGATAGGTGATAGCAAAGAGTGGCCTGACGAGTTGCTTGATAATACTGCAAAAGAAATTGGTTTTGAAGCCAAGACTCATAGCCAAGCAGCACTACTTGACTGTGGTATGACAATTGGAATTATATATAATCTATGAGATGGCTCTTGCTTATGTAATTCAATATTATCATACTTAATTATAACCATTACATATGTTTAATCTGATACTTGACTACAGCGTGACTTATCTTTATTTGTTGCCTTGATTTTTCCATAAAAGCTTTCAACTCTTCAAGTATGTAAATGTTACTTGTTATATTGAATAGGTAGGGATAAAGAATGGACTGAAGAGGAGTTAGAGCTGACGGCTAAAGCAATTGGCTACAAGACCAAGACCAGTAGCAAAGAATTACTTGTCAACCATGGTAAAACAACTTTATATGATCATCTCATACATCTGCTTCTCCTATCTCTATCTTTTATTTTACGAATAACCGCAATATAACTTACTTGTTGTTACAATGAGATTGCTTCCCTTCTAAGCATTTAACATCTAGGGTTATTTGTGTCTACTGTATATCCTTGACAGGTATGGGCAAAGAGTGGACTGAGGAAGAGCTTGAGAGATTTGCTGAGGCAATTAATTGTGAAGTCAAGGCTTGTAGCAAGATAGTGCTTGCTGAGCAAGGTATAAATGACTGGAATAGTTATTATTCTTTTTTGTTGCTTATGTGAGATATGTCATGCTTACTTTTATGTGCTTATGTATTTTAACCCGTGTATTCTATTCAATTAGTTACAGTGAATTACTTTATTGTAAGATTCCTTCTGCATAGCCTTCCAGCTTATAAATGTTTCCTTGAACAGTTAAGAACAAAAAGTGGACTGAAGAGGAGCTCGAAAAAACTTCAGAGGCAATTGGTTATGGTGCTATCAAGTAAGATATCTATTCTAAATGGAATGTTGAGCCATTTAAGTTGTTGTCCTTAAATCATCTCATTACTATTGGAAGTGTTTCATGTTATTGGCATATTAAAGTTTGAATTAAGCATTTGAAAGCTCTTGCAGTTAAGAGGTTTCTAGTTACAAGTTAATTCAAACCAAACTGTTCCCTAAACTAAGGAAGACTCGCTGTTGCAACCACATTTGTTGGAGCAACCATTTTATGCAAGAATCCTGAGTAGGATTTTCCATATTCCTATGAGATGACAATATCATGGATAGATCTTTCAAAGGGCTGTTTTGAATGTTTAATTTTATAGCACTACAGGCTATGTTACTGCCAGTGGCATATTGAGGACGTCATCTCCCTCTCAGGAATGTAGAAAATAAATTCAATGCTTAGGTTTTCACATGTATTGGATTTTTTATTCTTACTTCATTGAATTACTCTCTGGACTCGTAAAGAAAGTTTAACGCTTCTAAAAAAATGATCTTGGACTTTTTCTTTATCACCAAAATGCCCTTGCTTTGCTTTGAGAGCAGATGAGGTTAATCCCTTGTCCTGAACATCTATATTCATAGAATGAATTCCTATGTTTTTTATTTTTAAGTTCTCTCTGTTTTATTTTAAAATTATAATATAATAGCTTATCAAATGCTGATGGCTTGCTTCTATGTGTATGCTGCTTGAGCGCCCTACACTAGAAAAAACCTGAGGTGCCCAAATCTAATTAATTTATATATTTGTTCCCTGTCTGCGCTTTGCCTCTTTCTTTACTCTGGGTCTATGAGTGAAACTTATATACGAACCCAAAATGGCTGGCAGTTTGGTGCTTCAACTGTGTCACATTAGTACTAAATACATAATTCTGCTTACAGATTTATTTACATTATTACTATTCATTTTTGTCAGGTATGCTGATTTGAAGAACCACAGACTGACCAATTATACATTCAATTACGATCAAATGCTTAATGATAAGGTGTGTATATATATATATATATATATATTTATGCTTCACTGTTTGCTAGACTGTAGATTTCACTAAGATGAAGTGGCTAATGAGAAATAAGTTATAATTTATTGAGCTTGTTAATTCTTCTTGGATATCATGCTATTGACTTCCTGTTGTAAGGTTCTCTTGTCCGTTATTCTTTCTTTTTTCATTGTTGTTGCTGCTTAGAGATGCTTCCATTACTATTTTAGTTACATAGTCCTTACCTTTAAAATAATATTTTGAACAGGGCAACACTGCTGTCTATTTGCTATATGCACATGCTCGTATCTTTTCAATTATTAAGAAATCTGGTAAAGACATTGAGCAACTAAAGAAAGTAAGTTCTCTTCCTAGTTGCATGGTTCAGCTTGCAGGCTTTTACATTTTCTTTGTGCTGAGTCAATTGAGGTCACTTGGAGTGCGTTGTTCATGTGTCTTGCATATATATATATATATATATATATATATATATATATATATATATATATATATATATATATATATATATATATATATATATATATATATATATATATATATATATATATATATAAGACTCATGTGCGTCGTTTGCATGCGGCGGAGATGCGGATGTTAAGATGGATGTGTGGGAAGACAAGGTTGGATAGGATTTCGAACGAAGTTATCCGATGTCAGGTAGGCATGACGCCGGTGGAGGATAAGTTGCGGGAATCAAGGTTGAGATGGTTTGGGCATGTGAGACGGCGGGATGTTGATGCCCCTGTGCGGAGGTGCGAGAGGATCACGGTTATCGGGGAAAGTAGGGGAAGGGGTAGACCTAGGAAGAATTGGAAGGAGGTGATTAGGCAGGATTTAGGACTTCTCACCCTAACTGAGGATATGGCCTTAAATAGGAACCTTTGGAGGACTAGGATTAGAGTAGCTGGTTAGGAGCTCGGTGCTGTAGAGGTTTTTTGTAGTGTGTTGTGTTTGTTTGGTATCTTCTACTTTTGCTTGCTGGACTTTCATTTCATTGTACTTGGTGCTTTATCCTGTTATATCCTGTTATATCTTGTTATCCTGTTATATTGTGTTCTCTACCATATTTTTTGTGCAGGTTGAGCCGGGGGTCTCATGGAAACAGCCTCCCTACTTTCGAATAGGGGCAAGGTCTGCGTACACACACCCTCCCCAGACCCTACTGTAGTGGGATTCAACTGGGTTGTTGTTGTTGTTATATATATATATATGTATGTATGTATGTATGTATGTATATATACACTTAAATTCAAGTAACTATTCAAGCAAATCATTATATGTTTAGTTTAAAAATGTATCTGTTGGGGCCTTTAATTCTCTATCTTGAGTAGTTGAATTTAATTTTTGTTGATGCTTATCATGCGTAATTTTGGATGCAGACGTGCTCATTGGTGTTGGATCATCCTGATGAGCGAGCATTGGGGCTTCATTTACTACAATTTTCTGAGGTTAATACTTTAAGAATCTCTTCTAATCATGCTTCCCCACTTTGTTTCAGTCACCTAATGGATATATTTCCCTTTGATTTTCAGGCAATTGAGGAGGCCTGCACCAATCTCTTGCCACATTTATTGTGTGAATATCTGTATAATCTATCAGAATACTTCAATAAATTTTATTCTAAATGTCAGGTATGATCGTAAAACATACAAGATTTTGATTGGGACTTGACATTAATTTTCTGTGAATCAATTAACCAACAAGTTATTACTTAAGTTTCCGTATGATATATATTATGTAGTTGGATGAAATGTATATAAAATAACATATGGTCGGAAAATTTGGGCAGGTGATTGGTTCAAAAGAAGAATCGAGCAGACTCTTGCTATGTGAAGCAACCGCAATGGTTATGAGAACTTGTTTTTACCTTCTTGGGATTGTACCTATATTTAAGATATGATGGTAACACTGATAGTGAAGAAACCTGTAATTATTATTAGGCTCTTTTTAATACGGATAGTGAAGAACCTGTAAGTTTTTGAGCACCAAAATTGAAGTCAATTCATTTATTCTTTACAAAGTACTCCCTCCGTCCCGCAATATTTGTCCAGTATTTTTTTTGGGCCGTCCCACTATATTTGTCCACTTTCTTTATTTAGTAAAAAAAATCTAATTAATTTCCCCCTTTTTCCTTCATGTCTTATTCCTCATTTACACTCTCATCCCACTTTGTTTCAAATTTAAGGACATTTAAGACTTTTGTGTACCTTTTTTCCTCCCTCCTTGGTATTTGTGCCACTTTGAAAGTGGACAAATATGGTGGGATGGAGGGAGTACTTGTAAAATCCGGTGGAATATTTGACCACCTACACAGAATTCCTATATGTACCAGCAAAAAATGACTATTTCAGCACAGAATTGAAGGCATTTTTCTGTAGAAGTATGTCAGCAAAATGGTTTTTATGCCAGCCCTATATAACAAATCTTCATACCCTTCAATATCTTGGCATACTCCATTATTTGTTGACAAATTCCAAAGTCTGAGTTCATTTCTTTCTTTATGTCAAATCCCATGATTTGGATATTCTCAATGAGTTGTTCATGGGCAGCCACAGCTTCCTCAGAACCCCATATTTCAGCCAGCTATAAAAACATAGATATTCAACAGAATAAAACACATCACTTGGAGTAAAAGTTTACAATTACCTTGACACGTAAATTTTAAAGCCTTGAGATTTGGAAAGCAAGCAAACAAAATAAAACACATAACTTGTAGGAGTAAAGGTTTACAATTACCTCGAAACAGGTAAATTTTAAAGCCTTGAGATTTGGAAAGCAAGCAAATGTTGGCGAAAGTGATACAATGCTTCTATGATGTGCGAATGAAACATCCAAATGTAGGGTGTGAGTAGCATAAAAGATAGGCACTTGCACACTCCTCAACACAGCCTGCAAATTTTTTTACAAAAAAAAAAACAACTAATCATTTGAATGCACCATTAAGATCAATAATAAGACAAGGATAACGAGTTGTGTCCTTACTAAGAGAAGATCTCCATTTGTTACCAACATGGCTGTTTGTGACACTGAATTTAGGATGCATATCAATGTATTCACCATTTTGGGTCTATTCTTCTTTGGAAATGGCAAATATCCTGATCTAAAAATAGTAGACATCTCAAGGTTGGGAAACCCTCCCCCATTAAACTCATAACAAACCCCTCCATCAAGTGAGAACAAGGTGAGATTTGGGGTGTGGAGGGTAATTGATGCATTTTTTCCCCTACTAGCAAAGTTAATGGACAAGATTCGGAGCTGCTCACTAGATACAGAAATGTTAGTCATAAGATATTGGGAGAAAATCTCTACCCTCCTTAAGGATGAAGAAATTATATTCAACTCATTTAAGCCTCTTATGTTGTTTAGAATTAATGTCTCTAAACATGGAAAACTTGTAAAGGGATATCCCAACACAATAGAGTGTAATGAGAGCGTTTTAAGACTTTGAAGAGAGAATATGAAAGATGGCAGCTCAAACCCTTGGCTATCTGTAAGATCAAGAGTCAACTCTTTGATATAATTGTTGTTGAGAAGAGCATTTTCTAGCCATTTAAGCAGTATGTGTTTCTCAGCTTCTGAAGATACATTTAAAAACATCCAGTAAACCTCCAAAACCTCAATGTTCTTTAACCTGCTCTCCCCAAGCCAATACTTGTCAACAAACCTAAGAAAATCGTCCCTCCTCTCCAATTTTATATTCCTCAAATTGACTTGAACCTTAGGCTTGGAATCACAGAGATTTAAACACCTTTTGGAGAGAATTCTCAACTTAACAGCATCCTTCTGATCAAGAGAACTAAAAATCTTCCTTAGAATATCATCTGGAAAATCCAAAAACCTAGATTGAGCAGGTTGTTTTGTTTTTGTTAATATCCAGATATTGATGCCGATAAATCCAAGCAGTGGATATCCATCTCTAACACAATTCATTAGCAAATAAAGCACATTCGCTTCTGAAGCCTTTAGCAAGTCAATCACATTTCTGAAAAAAGCCATCAGACCTGATTCTGCCATCACTTGGAGGATGGTAAAAGTAGAACAGAAACAGAGATCGCAGGACTTCAAAATCAAAGCTGTGAAATGAAGGAGAAAATTATTCGCACAATCACTAATCTGAAAAATAGATTCAGTAAAGTGATTAATAACAAAAATTACTAAATGACGTGAAATAGTAGTTTCATAGCAGTTAATTCGGTGGATTCTTGGCCTTTTAGCGAAATTCAGAAATCATCGAGCTCTGTTTTGGACAATGCAACCGTCAGTGATCGGAAGAAAAATTAGGAAGTTTATTTCGAATTCATTTGATCTTAGAAGCTCATTCCCGGGCGCTCAATAATGAAACACAGCAAAATCATCAACAAACGCAATCAATACTAGATGAAAGATTAAGTCGAACAGAAGAATTTCATCAACAAACGCAATCAATACTAGATGGAAGATGAAATCGAACAGAGGAATTCATTGAATTAACAGCTTGACTTACGACGGAAATCATTTTGAGTGAAAACATTTCGCAAACTTATTCCAGAATGTGCTTTCTGGTATTTTTATACAAAAACTGGCTAATTCTCTAACTGATTTTGGCGCGCAATCTCAATTTGGTTGCGTGCGTAAACAATCCTCAGCCAAACGGTTGTGATCCACGTCAACTTGGGAAAACAATATTGACGGTCAGATATGAATATTTAGGGATGACAATGGGTCGGGTTCGGGTCGGATAGTACTATACCCGAACCCGACCCGACTTTTAAAACCGAAACCCGAACCCGACCCTTTAAGCCAAAAACCCGACCCGACCCTGACATTTCAACCCGAAACTCGAACCCGACCCGAACCCGACTTTTAACTAATAATCAATTTAACGTACCCCGATAATTTTGAAAAGATTAAATCTAATTTTTGTGTCTCTTTTTTTATGTTTCATTTTTTATTAAGGAATTATAAAAATGATTATAAAAGGCATATTTGATACGGAGTATAGTAGCACTTTGTCAAGAGATTATATGGAGTGGTCATTATATCCATACATAGACTTTTATGTAATAAAATATTCGGGTTTTAGTCGGGTCGGGTTCGGGTAAAATTATAAATCCACACCCAACCCGACCCGATGTCGGGTTCGGGTAAAAAATTTCGGGTCAGGTTCGGATTATTTTATTTTCGGCTCGGGTTCGGATATTTTAGTAGTCGGTCGGGTCGGTTAAGCTCGGGTTTGGGTTGAATTGCCATCCCTAGATATGATTAAGTGGAGAAGTCATCAACTCTCCATTAAACGCTTACTAAACATGATTTAGTTTTTGTGGCTGTCCTATTAAAATGAGACACGTGGTACAAATAGTACTGAAAAAAAATTCAAAATTATACGTACGTCGTCTTTTTCTTCCAATTTCTTATTCTTTTGCTGCCATTAAAGACCACAAACTAAATGTAACCATCTCCAGAATCTTTGATCTGTGATCTAAGTTGTCAAATAATTTCTGGATCCTGAAGGAGCTACCTGATTTTGGGTACATTGGCCATATCCTATTCTGGCAGACTTTCGACGGGGTTTGTAAGTGTTGATCAGTCCTTTCTGCAAAGGGCATTAAACGTCTTAGTTTATTGTTTATTTTTTGTATGCATTTTAAAGGATATTTCTGGCTCACTAATGAGTGTTCCACATTTGTTTGGATACCTCTTAATGTCATAATATTATACTTGTATTTTTTTTTTAGTAATAACTGCAGGTTGGGTTGGGTTGAAATTTAATTTTGTCTCATGTTGTTTGCCATGTATATAGGTATCACCTTGATGGAGAGCAGGCTATAACTTAATTGTATATGTTATTGATGTTGGCCAGAGAGAACACTTCGATATGGTATTTAATGTAAGTATCCGTGTCTACAGCTTGTATATTGTGTGAGTTGCTAAGTATGATTCCGTTCTTTTAATTTCTTCCTTTAACGTTTCCAATTCCGTTTACAAATGTATTTACCAGATGTGGTATATAGGGCCAAACTTGCAGCTTAATCTATGGTTGTTAATTGTTGTCGCGGTCAACAATTTCCATCTTTTCCAAACTTGTAGTTTAAATTTATACTCCGTACATGATACATTTCGGCGCAGAATGTGGAATATAGGTATTGTACAAGTGCAATGATTTGGAAACTCAATTTACTCAAATTCGATCTATTTGTGCATATAGATTCCCTGGATGCATTGTGGAGTATGATAATTCATTGACTTCCCGACTTTTTTAATAGTAGCAGAGCATAAAAAATATGTGTGTCAAATTTAGTGTTCTGTTGAACATGATGATGTTATGTTTCAGTTGCTCTGATGCAATATTGTCATTGAGTTTCAATAACAAATTAAAATTTGACTAAAATCGGATATGAATTGCAGAAGCTCAGACTATATCTCGAGAGGTTAAGTGGAGTAACTGGAGTTGCTCAACAAGATGGGATATCTAATTCGTTTTGTGGTCCACTGGACTCCAATGTGAAACTTAATTCACTCAGAATTGAAGATATTACATACAAGCATTGGCTGCCTTGAGTCAGATTCCTCTGCAATCATTAGCTGCGTTGCATGCCAAACTTTTTGGATGATCGACAGCTATATTAGTTACAACAATGGATCAACCAGCTCTTTTTGCAGGCATCAATGCCAGGGTCCCAAGTGTATTCTTGTTGAACATTAGTAAAATGCCTACCCAACATTTGCAATATATTGTATCAGTTGAAGATGTTGCTTCTGGATTTGGAGCTTGGCCTTCTAATAACCTTGGGACGTTGGGGGCCTACTAGCAATGTTGTGGGTAAAAGTAGTCAAAATGGTAACATGTTGATGGATATATTACATTAGCAACAGAAACTGCCATAACATCCACACCCACAATCCATACCAGAGACCAGCCTTTTATTAGTTAATGTGCAACCATCCTGCCTTGTTCCTTCTCAGTTATCAGTTAGTTTTCAGGCAGAAAATGGTTCTGCTTCTGTCAATCAGAATTGCAGCTTCAACACTTACAGCCTTCTGTCCTCCCAGTCAAATAATTCTACATTGAATATTGGACAGTTAAGGGTTATAGATCTTAAATCTACAGTTATAGTCAGTGTGTATCCAGGCCCCACTTCTATATCTACTTTTGCATCATCATGCTCTGTGAATGCTGACAATGGCATCACACGACAAGTTCAAAATTCAACCACCAGCTTCTCTGCTTCCAAATATATACCTGGGCTTGTTCCTAATATTTATGATGTCCAGGGTTCCTATGGTTCCAAGTTTGGTGAAGTTCTTGGTCAAGGACTGGTTAGGAATCTAGGATTTGTCGGTAAAGGGACTAGCATTCCATCCTGGTTTGCAGTGGATGAGTTTGAAGCACCAATGAGCAATAATTTGAGCCATGGAAAAGTCTTTTTGGAGAACAATGGCACTAATGTGAAGCAGGGGCCTTATATGGATTTCTCGGATAAAGCAAGAGTTGGGATCCCACTATTGCAGCAACATCCTTCACATGATCTCATGAGTGTTTTTACTGAATAGGTAACTTGGTTCCTGATTGAATCAATTTTTTACCGAATGTTGTTTTTTTCTTGGTCAAATTTTAAATTCGTCTGCTCAATTTGAAGTGCTTACAGATTAACAATATACTTGATATTCTTGAACTTAACAACATGTTTTCTTTACAAATTATTCATTGCAGACATCTTTTCCATAATTCCATTCCATTTCTTTTTAATGGCATTCGATCACAGGTTCATTATCTAATATACTAGTTTTTGGTTGACAACAAGCTTGTCCTTGTTAGCTGGAGGCAAGTTGCTAATAGCCATAGACAGGACAGTACAGATTGTTCCGTTTCAGAATGGATGTGAATTGAAGTCTGTTAATTTAATATAGACTTACCTGTTCCTGCACCATTCTCAAGCGCTATATGGAGACATTATTTGTTATTACTTCAGAAGAAGAGAAAAGAATTATACTCATCTTGTGTAATTTCCATTGAAGCGCTGGGGCAAAGCTCTACATGCAGTAAGCAGTATTTTTCATATCTAGTTAGATTGTAGGGAAAATAAGATGTGCTAGTTCCAAACTGCTTGAAATGAAATCCCAATTGATGGCATCTTGCTATCATAGTTGTGTAGGTATTATTATATTCAGGTACAGTGGTGATGAGATTTCTAATTTATGATGCAATTGATCCAAGAAATGCTGCAGCATCTCTTTATTCTTGGTTAAGCTCTTTTTCTTGCATGTGCCAAGATTCTTTGTTTGTATTTGGGAGATGGTTGGTTACGTGATTCATTGATAAGGCAACAGAAGGGAAGGTTTGATATGCATCAAAAATGGAGTTGCATTGTTGGTTTATTCACCTCTCTTTCTTTCTGGCTTCCAAAGAACAATGTTCCAACAAATTCTTCATTTTTTTTGGAAGCAAACATCTTCATCAGTTTAATATCAATAAAACTGAAGGCAGTACAAAAGCAAAGCAAAGCAAGTAGAAGTAAAATTAACAACAAAATTTATTCTTCAACCACAAAAAACCTCAAAACGACTTAGTACATCAATATTTTTTCATTAGATTATAGGACAAGGAAATGGAGCTTCTTCACAAACTTGTGTACTGCTTGAAGAAATAAGAAATGTGTTTATTAATTTCATAAGGCTTTTCTTGATTGAAAAAGTGAACTGCTTCTTTTATTACCACAGCTTCTAAAAGAGGAACATCTTTCTTCAATCCTCCACTCTCTATGTAAGCCTCGAGTGTTTGTCGTAGACAATAGAAAGCTTAAAAGACCATCAAAGGGAATTGCAAAAATATTGAACAAGTAATTGCTGCATGTCTTGAAAATCTGAAATATGAACAAAATTCTTCTTCTAGAATAACCAAACCTTATTTTCTACTCTTACTATCTATTGTGCCCTCTCTACTTTCCCCATAATCGTCACTTGTATTCAATCTAGCATATCATTCTATATTCATGCTCCTGTTATATGGATTGGAGCTTGTTTGGCGACGGTGAATTTTTGGTGAAGTTGCTGTATATGAAATATATATATGTGAAAAAAAAGGCTTAAATGATCAGTGCAAAAATTAGTGTTTGGTTGTAAAAATGCCAAACGGTTAGTAAAGCAAAAAAGTTGAAACCAATTGGTAACTTGAAATAACAGGTCTATTCTAAGTGATTCACTATTGTTTGTAATGAGGCAGATTGGTTCAAGTATTTAACAACCGATGGCATAGATGACTATTTAGTGTTAAATGTTTTTGTAGATGAAATTTATGTTTCTAGTCGGTATCGTATTGACAATGAAAGATTAACAGGGGTAGCACCAGGTGAAAGTACAGGTGCAACGATGTCTGGCAACGATGATGAGCAGGAGGACAGTGACACCAACTTATTTGATGGAGGTCTAGATGGATCAGACACCATGGGTTTCGGTCCCCTGGTTCCTACTGAAACTGAGAGGTCACTTATGGAGCGAGTGAGACAAGAACTGAAGCATGAGCTCAAACAGGTATTTGAACATTGATTTTATTTTTGTTTTGTTTTGCTTTGGTGTATTGTTGATAGCCCTACCTGTTCCATAGTCTCAACGGTTTCCTGTCCTTCAGAGTTACAAAGAAAAGATAGGGGACATCAGGGAAGAAATTTTACGTAAAAGAAGAGCTGGAAAGCTGCCCGGCGATACTACTTCTGTCCTGAAAGCCTGGTGGCAGTCACACTCAAAATGGCCTTACCCAACGGTAGGGGCACATAGATAATGCACTATTAGACATTCCTCAGGGTCCTGAGTCCTAATTTAGTACTTCTCTTTGTTCACTTTTGCTTTAGGAGGAAGACAAGGCAAGATTAGTTGCAGAGACTGGGTTGCAACTGAAACAGATAAACAATTGGTTCATCAACCAAAGGAAAAGAAATTGGCACATCAATTCTTCCTCCTCAACTTCTTCTCAGAAGAGCAAACGCAGGAGGTAGCAACGTGGTGACTTATGCTGACACTTATATATATTCTCTTTTTTTTTCTTTCTTTTTTCGCCTTATGAGCAGAAGCTCAAAATCCTTCTTCACACATACCAAACTCGATCCATGGAAAAGTAGTGCAGGTGAAAAATTAAGTGGCGAGCATTTCATGTGAGAAGAGACACCACCGGAAGGCACAAATGCTTAAAACAGAAGAGGATGCAAGAATCTACCAAAAGGGGGTATGGCAAGGTTACAATTTTAAGACTTCTACTTGATTGGAGTATGCCCGAGTATAAGTGTATATACAGTAGCAATATTTTATTTATCTTTATTTTTATTTTTATTATTATTATTTTTGGGGTGGTTGGTATGGCAGTGACATGCATCAACTTTCCCAAGGGATTCGACTTTGGGGTTTACTTAGTTATCACAAGTATAGATGTAGATAATGACTACTTGCATCTCCAGGCAGTTTATTCCCATTTACATAAGACTACTTTAAGGTTGTTGGATGCACATTAACTGCATGTTTTGCGCGCGTGCGTGTGTGTATGTGTTTGTACTGACATATACGATCTACCCTCCTCGTATTGTAGCATTTCCAAAATCACCCGTGTGGCAGATGCAAGTATGAATTAATGGTGAATGCATGCCAAAGTGCCAATGAACTGCCTGCGCATGTCTGCATGAACAAAAGAACATTGTCTGTGTACAATTATAGGTATGCTGTCTGTGAGTTATTAAGCATGCCAAAGTTGTTTGTGCCAAAACCATGCAACTGGTGCATAAACTACAAGGACTAAATAGCAAATCAAAAGAGGGATTATTCACATGAAATTTGGCCGAGGGAGAAAAATAATATAATTGCAATCGATCTTTTTCCCCCCTAATGACCCCTAAGGACATTTTGGCTTTTAATTTCCTAAGTTCAAATTGACTGGAAAACAGAAGTCAAGAAGAGTGCTAGAAATAAAAGGTGTTAGTGCCTGCGATTAAGTCCTAGGTTGTTGGGTTGTGGCTTTTGCAGGGAAGTTGGCTGCTATAGCTCGCAACTCGTTAGCAATCTCCGTGAATGTTGGCCTTTCTGATGGTTCTGCACACCAGCATCTCTCCATCAGTGCCTTCCAATCTGCGTCACAAGATTCCGGTACACACGGCCGCAGTGTGTTGTTCACTATACCCCTGTCATTATCCCAAACCTCAATCTCAATCCAACTCAAATTAAAATCATTGATTATATAAAAAATGTCAGCCCGTTAAGACCTTTCAATTTATTTTTGGAAAAAGGACTAAACTAGGGGTAAAACATGGAAACAATACCAAAACCGGAGTTTCATGTTTTTAGATCAAAAGCACTCAATTAAATTTAAGCTGAAAAGTGATAGGTCTTATGTGATGATAAATGGTTGGTTATACCATATGTGAAGAACTCACCAATAATGGCGCCATAGTGCAAGTCCGCGTAGGGCTCTTCCCCAGTTAGAAGTTCTCACATCACAATTCCAAATGAAAACACATCAACCTAAAGGCACAACAATCATTCACTTTTTCAGGCTCAAAAAATTAATGAAAATATGGACTTTGATTCTGGCCACTCAATAATGTTGAGCCAGACTGACTAATGATACGGAGTACGATTTAGGAGGGGAGAGATGAGAACCAACCTTCTCGCAGACAAGGCTGCTGCTGCCATTGAGAAGTTCAGGTGCCATCCAAGGGAGAGTTCCTCTCACCCCACCTGAGATTAATGTCTGGCATTTCACTTTGGACAGCCCCAAATCACCAACCTAAGCAGAGCAATAAAATGTAAGCCAGGGTTTTGATTCTTACTGATTTTGCATGATGAGTTGATAGCTCAGGGTGCAGGGAGCTACTAATATAAGGGTGTGTAAATGTTCTAACCTTGCATATTGGGCGGTGTGGATCACGAAGGTTAACCAATAAATTATCACTTTTCAAATCAAAGTGCACTATGTTTTTGCCATGCAAGTACTCCATTCCAAAAGCTACATCCATTGCTATCAAGAGACGCTTCCTCTTATCAAGAATCCTGACCACATTCAACAACAATTCATCACTTCCCATCAATGGTTTTAATTTCAGTAGAAAAGAGAGCGGCAACAACCCCATAGATGAAACGAAAAGGATGT